AGAGGAAGGCCGTGTCGGTGAATATATATGCATTTTCGCCGAGATAAAAGCCAAACGGCCGGGGTTACCGAGAGGCTAAACGAAAAATCGTTGCGTTTAGACGGGAACCGAACGTTTTTCCCGCCCTTTTTTTCGCGCACGAGATACGCGAGTTACAGGATTCGATTGAGCGCGATGGTTTTTTTCCTTTTTCTTTTTTTTTTTTTTTTTTCCCTCTTCAGTCAGCAGTTGTTGTCAGATGTTTCTTTCGAAATCGTTTTGAACTATTTGAATTATGATCACGAAACACGATGATGGAGAGGAAAGTTTTCACCGATAATCGGTTAAATGAACTTTGATCGAGCGAGTTAAGCTTCTGTTACCAGCGTGTTATTCGCGTTTGTGAGATACTTTTTAAAAAATCTGTTATACAGAGATCGAGAAAAATGTTGGTCGAGATTCATTATATTAGGTTAAGTTTTGTATTTTGTTTCGTTTCTTTGAGTATGATAAAGTTTTTACACTCGTGTGATATACTTAGATTAATAAGAAAATGTTCATTGCGAAATGTTCATTGAATGTAAGGAATTTTGAAATAGCAGAGTGTTAAAGTAGTAAGTGTAACAAGCAGTTTTCTCAAAAACTTGTATCAGAATTATGTTCTCCAGGGTTCTTCTCGGAAAATAAATGAGATAGATAGGGGAATAATTTTCTCAAAACTTTTCTCTACGAAATACATCGTAAATTTTTATATTTCTTGATAATTTCGACACTAAACGTAACTCATTCTAATCTTTGGTCCCTTTGTGAGACTCCACTTTCCTTCTGCACTTTTATTGTTTCGAAATATTAATGAGATAAGAGGTATTAAAAAAAAAAAAAAGAAGTAAATAAATAAATGAAAAAATAGTCGAATATTAAAATAAAATTTAAAAATATACCAATTAACTAAAAATATTTTAGTTTCTTTTTATTTTTTTTTAAATTTCTCACCACTTGTGGAAATTTATTAATATTTATAACAAACGATTATAGACACGTGTGTATGCGAATAAAAAGGATGAAAGAAAGGGACGTGTAAGCTGGTATCGGAATAAACGATCAATAGCTCGAACACTTTTTATGGATATAAGCTGATTTCAAAAGCTACTTCTTTGTAGGAAAAAATCTGTTTTACACAGCTTTATAATTTATTCTATTTTATTCTTTTTTGAAAAAAAAAATCCTAGCAATTCCTACTCAAATTTACATCAAATTTATAAATTAATTCTTCGTTATTAAATTTTTCTAACAATACAATAATTGCGAAAAATTATAAAATATATTATTCGAAACGTATAACGTAATATAAAATAACTTCAAACGATTTTTAATTGAATAATGGATATCGATCTAATAATTTAATGACAATATTATTAATTTACACGCTTAATATTCATTATCTCTCTCTCTCTTTTTTTTTTTGTATTCAGAATTGATTATGCTACAACTACATTAACAATATCGATTATCGATTCCATAAATGATATTTACACCATTTATTGCTTTTCCAACTTTAATAAAGTTGTCAATTTCCACTTTTAAAACATGAGGCACGAGTTTTAAATAACAAAATGTAATTAGGAAGGTAACATACCGTGAGAAATCGTGAGAATTGGTTATACACTTTGGTTATATCTGATATTTATTATCCGATATCGATAGATTCCCATTTACATGGGAGTAAATTATTTTCGAATACGTTTAAATCTGCATAAATTTCCTGACTGATGGCTAAAAAATAAATGTCAGCAGTTACAGAAATCGTTTTAATCGTTAATGAGAAAACACGTTCCACGATACCAATTTCAACGAAACTTCGTCAATACCTGATAACTGAGATATATGCTTGACTCGTGTCATTTGCATAAATCCTCCCAATAATGGAAATACTTCATCATTGGTGAATCGCTGATTTGTTGTAGTCTTTTTCCTTTTTTTAAATATCCTAATGGATATTATTGTTTATTGCTTAAATAAAATTTATATTATACACGGAATTATTTCAATTCGTATATTTATTCTGCTTTATCATAAATTTAAAATTGTATAAAATACCGTGATATAATTTTTTTCGAAGCAAATTTATATTTGTAAAGTTTTCTCGTGTATTTCTTTATTCCACACACACACAAAAAAAGTTAAACGATAATTAGAAGAACAATTTAAGAACAATTTAAAAAATTTTACTTCTTTGTCACTTCTTTCTCTCTCTCTACTCAAAAACGTACATACGTTGAAAGAATTCTAATTAACCTTTCGTGGACGTAACGTTTGTTAAATTTCAACAGATGTGATAAAAGGAACAGAAGGATATTCCTTATGTCATTACAAGAAATTTATGACAAGGAAATTTCCATATTATTATACATATTTCACGGAAAGAGGAAATTTCAAAATTCCATATACAGACAGAATGAAGAAAAACTGATATTAACCCTGCCAAAATATTTTATCCATTATTATTCCTCACAAATTAATCTCAAAAATCCACGATCTTCTATCTCTTTCGATTCGATCTATTCTTCATCACCAATTTATTCACCAAAAAGAAAAAATATACTTTCAAACCCTCCATCTCGCGATTATCCACTCGACGGTCAGAAAACAAGCCAAATCGTACGCTCATAAATTCGTCGACGCTCGATTACTCCTCCTTACCCACCCTCTCTCTCTCCCCTTCAACTCAGAACAACTGCGGGACCCTGTTGGAACATCTTGGAAAGTGTCGAACGCAGATCCCTTTTCCGATCCCTGCCAACTGCCCAATTCAAGGGACGACTTCTACAATCGGATGAGCACCGATGTAGAATGCTCTTACATCCTCCTTCCCCTCTCTCCTTTTCCTCTCTGCCTGTCGACCGAAGCGGAGAGCGCTTTATTGCGGTCGCGTTTGTAGAGTACATGGATGAAAAAGCATAACGTGAATAACCGCGAAGGGAGAGGACGTGGAGAGAAAAGAGAGAGAGAGTGTGCACCAGATACAAGGGAAGGCAAGGGAGAGTGGAGAGTGGAGAGGCGAGTCGTAAAACGTTGGGTTTTGCAAGAAGCGGCCTGGTGGCGGCAGTCGCGAGGGTGAGAATGGAGAAGGGAGCCGGCACAAAGTAGGCGCACCGCTTTATCGTCGACCAAGGCTCTGAGAGACACTCTCCTCCGCCGTGTTCTCTCTCTCTCTCTCTCTCTCGATTCTTTTTTTTTTACTCGCCCCCTCTGCTTCCTTCCTTCCTCTTCCCCTCCCTTGAAATTTCCTCCCCCTCGTTCGCCGATTTATCTCTCCTTTGACCGGTCCTCCTACGCCTCTTTTCTCTCTTTCTCTTAATTCCATGTCTCTTTGATCGACCCTTTCTTCTTCTTCCCCTCTTTACTTTATCGGCGTTCTATGTGATTCTATGTGTATATATATATATATAT